TATATATATATGGCGGATACATATGTGATTGGTGGGGTGAGATGACTGTTGTGTGTGTGGGTGGGGGGGACTATCTTATCTTAAGCCAGTCATCGTAAAAAAATTTGGCAAACTGGAACCGTTTCTTTTACAACATAGTCGGATATACATATAAATTTTCATTGTTTTAAATAAACGAAATAAAATTGCCTGAAATATCTATTTTGTAACCACAAAAATGCAAACTACTTACATTAGATCAAGCCTGTTAAAAAAAGTTGAGCTTTGGTCATACACATTCGCGCCCATCTATCAGCGTTTTTATTTACTCTGCGGGAGGATGAACAATGTTTTGGCGTTTCTTCATAATTTTTACATAATTCGAAAGTACTAATTCCGAATCCGGAGGATGTCACCCCGGCATTCTTAAGGGTCTTGAAATATTCAAGATGGCGCCTAAAATGGCTGCCAAAACTGAAAAATGGTACCATCTCAGCGTCTAAAAGTGATAGAGTAAACATTTTGACCTATAGACCTAGATTTATGGAGCCCAAGAAATCAAATTTGACAATAAAAGTAGATTAGTGATAACATAACTAAAATGGTATTTTAACAACTAAAACTGCTATCATGGAAGTCCCATATAAACTGAAGGATGGAATATTGTATGGATGTCTTTGTCTGAATCTGGCTAAGCCACAGAAGAAAAACATATATGTTAATTCAAAATTATATAGTATGCATAATGTATAGGCAATGATACCCATGCATGTGCTAGAAGAAAAGAAAATCTTATATTTTCATGTATATTGTTACCCCGGACAAAACAAGTCAACATTCACAGCAACACTTTTCCATATGATACTGTAGGTCAATAAATACTTCAGTGGTATCTTACAATTTAAGGAAACTATAAAAAAATAGAACAATATATATATATATATACATATATATATATATATGTCATAAGAAACATCATATCACTCTGGTACACCAGTAAAACATTTTAAAAGCAACAAATTCATTATTGTTATATTGGTCAACAAATGTTGTACACGAGATAAACATTATCAACATTGGTACATATCAGCATTTTAAATGCTTAAAGTTAAATTTCGCCAAGAACCGGCTCAACCTATCAAAAGCAATAACACAATTTATTTATAAAGACATTAAAATTGTTACATTTACAGCATTCAGAATACATTTATCATCACTTTCAATCTCATCCTCCTTTTCATCAATGTGACATTCAATCAAATTTGTTCATTTGTTGTTCCAATTGTTGGAGCTGTTGTTGCATTTCAAAATTTTCAACAAGGCATCTGGCCGTTGAGTAAGGTTGCTCTTTGCCACATCCATAGCAAATCATCTGCAGAATCTCTTATGGAGCTGTAGGCCTTTCTCTGCATTGCCACCAGTACAAGTACTTTCCAGAATTCATCCCTTTAACTTTGGAATGAAAATGACATTCTTAGATGTCTTCTTTAGCCAGAACTCATAGTGCACATTAGACATCTGTTTGCTGTTGGCTTTGCAATCATAACACAAAATCACAAATGCTTTCGCCTCTTTTAAAATGACTTCCATGTTGCCATCCAAGTTGTCTAGATTTGATAGTGTTTCTCTTCAGATGTGTCTTGACCACTGCAGCTTTGGTGCTAACCCCATATGTAGGCTGGTGTGTCATATCTAGAGAGAGCGTGGGCTGTAAAAAAGAGTGGTAAAATAATATAGGAGTGCTTATTTGCTGTCCCCCCAATGTTAACATTCGTCTGCTGTGTATTCGTTTCCTACATTGTTAGAGAAATGACTGTAATACAATCAACTCCTTCACTGGCAACACTCATCATTTGTTGCACCATAACAGCATCAGCCTCCACGTGCCTGGTTCGCATCTCTTCACCCCGGTGTCACACATCTATTACTAACTTCTATTTGTATGGTGTACTAGGTTAGTATAATGTTTCTCATGTTGAAAATATTTGTTATATTGATACTTTCTTGTATTATAAGATAGCATTAAGGTATTCAAACGATCTACAGTATGATAAGGAAAAAGGTTGCTTTTAATACTGGCCGGTTTTGTCCAGAGCAACAACATGTGTGAAGATGTATACTTTTTTAGTGCATGCAAGATATAGTTTATCATTGCATATGCATTAGGCTTACTATATTTTTTTGAAGGAACATATATGTTTGTATTATGTGGCTCAGTAAGATTCAGGCATATTCATCCATACAACTATTAATCTTATAGTTAATGTGAGGTATATAGGTAGTCTTAGTCATAGGGAATCTACCATTTTTGAGTTACATTATAAATAGCATTGCAGTTTTAATGTAAAATCCGAGCCATTATACCCAATATACCTAGGTATACATGTCAAAACTGCTACTTTACTACTGTTTTTCTTCTTTTTTCGGCCATTTTGGACGCCATCTTGAATATTTCAAAACTTTCAACGATGCTGAAGTGGCACTTTTCGGACTCGTAACTATCACCCTCGAATTACTTAAAAGTCAACAAGAAACATTGCACACACACATACCAAAACAAGGCTGAGTGAAAATCAAGGTTTGGCAACCGGACTACATGACATAACTGGTGAGGTTGTCGTTCTACCGAAGGAGGCCGTTTTACCCACTTTATCCTAAATGGTGATAAAACAACCAATATATTTCCTTAAATTGAAAAGTAACTGTTAAATGTGTTTTCTTACGATAATATTCTGTATACGACATAATTTTATCTGTAAATAAATATATGAACTAGATCTATATCGATAAATGTTCTGCCCCCAACCCTGGTTGTTCAGCGAGTAAACTTGCTCTTGAGTAAACAAACAAGTAAATGTTCTAGTAATTCATTCTACGGAAATAATTATTTTGCCAGGTGAACACTACACACTCCAAATCAAATCAAAATTAGTGAAGTTTTATGTTATTACTTTAAACTTACGAAGAGCAAACCCTTACAGTCAAACACATTAGATGTCCCCCCGTGGTACAGCGGTAAGTCTATTTGCTTATGACGCTAAAATCCGGTGTTCGTTTCCCTCCGTGGACACAGCAGAGAGCCCCATGTGGCTTTGCTCTCAAACAAACAACAATACTTTAGAATATCATGACGAAATTGCAAATAATATTAAAACTTTATTAATTTTAAAACTAATAAGAACTTTATGATAGGTTGACATATTATTTTCCAAATGTAAGTTAGAAATTATTGCATATCATTGACTACATTATTTTATATTTCATAATCCGTCTATTATGCAGATGTAATAGTAAGCTTTAGAAATTTTGCAAACATCTGTAGCCACGGAGACAGAAGAGGTTGAATATGTACAACTTTATTGAGGAAAAAAAGAGCAGAAACACATCGTGATCAAGATAAAAAGTAAAAACATTTACTCACGACCTTTATCATAAGCCACACCGTTCAATTCTGCAAAACAGGGTATTTCAACGAAGTGTGCTGCTGGCGTTGTTGGCCAACAAGATATTCCGTCCCACACTGCACTGCAGAAAGATGTCAGGTTATCTGTCAAAAAAAGTAGAGAATAAACTATTGAAACAAACTGGGACAGAAGTAATACATGTGTTTCTATAAACCAAAGTGTGCGATGTGAAGCTTCTACGTGTTGTTTAAAATGAAATTAAATAAAAATACTTTGATATAAAAGGTAATTATTCAAAGCTTCATTTACGAATAATGTATTACTACACAATCTGAATAGTTAACTAATGTCTTGCATAACGTGAAAGTTAAAACAAGTGTATAGAATATTATATAGTAATTTACAAAACTGCAACAATACAACGTTTGAGCTAGTTGATTAGAGGCATAGAGTTATACCCTTTTTTTATTTCTCTTAGTATTTTAAAAGACTCACTATTACTCGGATAACTAAAAAAAAGGAAAAAATAAACGTTTTAAGAACATATATGGTAGTTCTGAGCTATTACAACGATATGGAGTTATAAAAATAAACCAAATCAAACTTTCTGTACAGTGTCTCATCTATTCTATCAAATATTCTTAGTTCTCGATTCAGTCTTGACATTAAGGTTCTCTTAAAGCCTAAGGGCGATCAATAAGAGTAAGATGTTTTAGATTTTATTTATTTAATTTATGTTTTCCTGTCTTACCAAACATTTTTATTGAGTGATCCACTAGATCAATCCGAAACCTAACGGGCTATATTTGTTCTCGAGAAGCTATAGAAGGAAAAGTCAGATGGTTCTGAAAAACAAGAGTATTTTAAACCGCTCTGTTTATTTCTATATGTATAGGCATGGCGTGCTGTATTAACGAGTGGTTTTATTTTGATACAATTTAATCTGAATGTTTCGTTATATTACCTTGGAATCACTTCATATTTCCAAACCAAATACCTTTTAAATCTGCAATTGTATTAGAGAAAGTACCTTTAGAGGTTTATGGTTAATTGCTCGAACACTACTTTAATAAAATCATGTTTATTACATTTAACAAGCAGTTACTGATGCAAACAAACCTTGTGCCTTTTGTCTATAATTGTAGATCTTTTCTTATGATGATTTTGTCCTGAACAATTGCTGATACCAAATAGCATTCCTTCACAAGAGCTTTTAGCGTTGGGAAAATGTCTTTTAGAATAAGCTAAAATACATTTGTTATATTTAGTTATACGTGATGATTTCTCGTCTATTCGGACATACCTACTCTTTTATAATACTTGTAAGACTTTAGAAAACCTTTTCTGGATTTCTGATTTCCCTTTTGTTTGTATTTTTAATAAGGCTAAAATATCTTCAGAAAGATAATAATACCCTTTTTAAATTAAGACCTAATATTTTATTCATTATCAATGCAGGCCTTTTAGTATGAAGTACAGTGTGAAAAGGGGATGTTCCATCTTGGTAGCTGTTCTAAGTTGACGAGTTCAATAAAATCAAAAATCGTTTACAGAAGCTACGAATAATTCTTATCTTTGATGGATTGTAGCTATAAGCGAAAGTTTTTATTTCCAAAATCAATTAATATAGTTAAGTTTTAATAGCTTTTGATTTAGCCTTTTTACCGAAATATATGTTACGAAATATTTATGTTAAAGACCGATTGACAATGAATTGAGCTGTCATCAAAAACAAAATTTGTCTCTAATATAGAGTATTCAGCAAGTTATTGGGTTCGCAAATAAGGAAAGAAAACATTTGTAGGAAAGGCTTGTACATTTTGGGTAAATTTTGCTTACTAGAAGGGTAGAACGTGATATCGAAAGTGATTGCCCAACACACAGCAATACCAGTTCGAGATGTAAACACGTCAAGTGAATTTATTTGTACAGAGATATAAAAAGTAAAACGAACTTGAATAAATAACAATCGCAATGCGTGATCAACAAACCTTATATTTTCCTTTGAGGATAGACCAACGGATGGAAAATATTTTATGGGTTTTTATAACTGTTTTAGCACTTTGCTAGACAATAGTGCTGAATTAAATTACCTGATATTCTAAGAAAAACATATTTTAGAACAGCTGGAAGAGACGAGATAAAAGCGTTTAGTGGAACCTGGTGGGCCTTTAATAAAATGTCGAACATTTATTATGAAAGACAATTAACGAATCAGTGCAGTTGCTTATTAAACGGTTTCCTAGTTCAATAGTAAAGAAGAAAAAAAAAGCAAACCTTTCTAAAGCGATTGGACGATTGGATTATTGTGTATTTTTTTAAAAATTGTACCATCTAGATAAAATGTTAGATTTGTATAGAATTACAGCCATCTTAATATACTCACAGATGATAGATTTGTATAGAATTACAGCCATCTTAATATACTCACAGATGATTACATTTTTTTCAGGAATTCTTATTTATTTATTCATTATTGATTTATTTGTTTAATTTTTTTGTCTAACGTTTCTTTAAGAGTGTCTAAATATCTGATATTGGCTCTCAAACTAAACAAAGTGTTCCGTTTCGCAACATTTTATTAGTAACATGTTTCTGCACTTATGAGAAGTCATTTCAATACTTTTATGCCCAGTTATTCTTTATACCTTGGCAAGTACACGAGGACGAAAGCCGCCGCTTTTGTATGTGTTAAGAGCATCAAGTGAATTAAATATGCAGAACTTCGATATATTATGCTCACCTATTTGCAGTTGTTTTGTTAAGAGACCAGTAATATTATAAATTGTTTATAAGGGCTTTTCTGAACACACTCTGTAAACAGCTTATAAAATTACAAAACAATCTTTCATTCACACATTTTTACGAACGTACTTTATCAAATACCTGATCAGCATTGTATCTTGGAGGCACTGATATTACTGTCACTATGACGCCTGAAAGCGTTTTATAATCTTGCAATATATATACGAACTTTAAAAAAAAATTACATAAAAGTATATATATACATAACCATATGTTTCACAGTATCTTGTTGATTTACATTAATTTTTTAAAAAAGCACAGAAAAAAATTAATCTTTGTCAACTAAAAAAAACATAAAAACGGAAAGAGCAATGGTTATATACCTTTGCTTAAGAATAATCCTTCAGTTTTCAAAATAAAAAGTTCTTTTCGTTGATTATTCGCCATTTCGAGCTCTTCAGGCACCGTGCAATACATACATTTATGCTTCTCCTGAATAAACCGAAATGGCGAAGTATTGAACAAACACAAAAAATCTGGATATCTTCGACTGCTTACTTTACCAAATGGCTACCAACATACTAAGTTAAGCACTGCGACATAAAAATAACTCAGAATATTTCTAACCTGTTTTTTGACCATCGATGTCGCTTAGATAGCATTCTAATTCTGGAAAGGAATTGTAAATATTCTCGAATGTTTCATTAGACGTTCTGTTTATTTTCAGTATCATCCCCGGGTTGTGCAAAGAAACATCTAACCTATATGTGGAAAATCTATATTGATTACTATGCAACTATATATATATGTATATATCATTTAAAATTTCTGGTACTTCTAACCAGGTAATAGACTGATACATACTGCGAACAAAAACAGGTAATGTAAACAGTAATATTATTTTAAGTAATATATAACACTCAACAAAATACCTTAAAACCCTTATTTAGATAGTTCGGAGTAGTAATAATTAATCACGGCCTGAAACATCGCTCTTAAAAAGTGAAATTAATCTCCATAACAACCTTTGTTTATTTTGTTTGACAAATTCATTTAACGAAAACAAATTGTCCGTTTCATCCACTACAAGAATCTATAATCGAAAAGCTGATATCTTGTGAAATATAGATCAATAGAAAAACTGATTGATGTACTGGGATACAATGAAAGCCGCTTGTCAACAATGTACATATATGCACCATATGAAAAACAGTATACATAAAACAGAAAAATTAAAAGCAGAAACAGAAGATACCAAATATATATATATATAAATATTTTGGAGAACTGAATTTTGCAAATTAACAGTTTCTTATATTTCTATATCTATATTTATCTTTTATAATTTTTTTCAAACCCAGGCAAACATTTTTACATCATGATGCTACACTGATCCAAAATTTTGTCTTCATCTGAGCATTTTGATATTTTTCCACACCTGAATTTATCTTTTAACATCTTGCTTCATGCCATTGGTCTATGCTTAAAAATTTCCCTCATATATGAATTAATTTTCAACATTTTATTCATATAAATATACCATTTAACATATTGCTCATACCTTGATTTTTTTAACATAAGCTCATATCTGTGTTCATGTTTAATCTACATTTTTCTACATCTGTTTTAGCCCCCCAGTGGCACAGCGGTATGTCTGCGGACTTACAATGCTAGAATCCGGGTTTCAATACTCATGGTGGGCAGAGCACAGATAGCCCATTGTATAGCTTTGTGTTTAATTACAAACAAACATCTGGATTAATTTTCAACATCTTGTTTGATATCATTGATCATATTTGAACATCTTGCTCTTGGCTCGGTACATATTTATGTATCATATCTAATATCTTAATTTTCAAATACATTCCTCATATTTACACGTATCTTTTAATATATCGTATTATTGCCACGTGTTCTATCGTTGGGCAGGTTTGTAGGATTATTTGGTGAAAATAATTTCCACACAACAACAGCAAATTAATTTATTTCGTCAATAACGTTTGCTATAAGGTATGTTTACTTGTAAATCTAGCTTCACTAACAACGTTTCAATAGAAACTTCTAAACGAATGTAAGCCTGTCTCACAAATAAACTTACTTGCAGAATTTCCTCGCTAATCGATCGATCACAAACACGCTAACTAACTCATTGTTTAGCTTACTAACTGAACCAAATAACCTAATAACTCACCAACCGACACAGAGTTGTTGCACTCGTTGATAACTCATTAATACACTGAATACTTCACTGATTCTCTCGCTCCGGTATTTATATCATTCTCGTTTTCTACTTAGTACACGATATTTTTGGATCGTTACACGTCATCATCATAATTAATTCCCTAAACATCT